CAGGGTCAAGGAGTGTAGTTGTAAAAAATCATCAAAATCAGAGTTAAAATAACCGTTAAATCGTGATTTTTTGTTTTATAACCGTCGAAAAGTTTTGTCTCATTACTTGATCTCTGAATGTTGTTTTTTTTGTGATTTTTGGCATTTGCAATCTTGAAGCATATACAAACAAGTTTGACGGTTGGATCGTTAAAACTTGTTTCATAGAATTCGTATCCCATCAAAACGATAGATTCACTAACACTTAGAGTTTATTTGTACTTTCATTATGTATAACATAAGATTTTGTGGTATCCACTTGTGTAAATATTTTAAAATGATGATCAAATTCATTCATTGTATTCGTATAGGGTCAAGGAGTGTAGTTGTAAAAAATCATCAAAATCAGAGTTAAAATAACCGTTAAATCGTGATTTTTTGTTTTATAACCGTCGAAAAGTTTTGTCTCATTACTTGATCTTGAATGTTTGTGTTTTTGTGATTTTTGGCGTATGCGATCTCGAAGCATATACAAACAAGTTTGACAGTTGGATCATTGAAATTAGTTTCATAGAATTCGTATCTCATCAAAACGATAGATTCACTAACACTTAGAGTTTATTTATAGTTTCATTAAGTATAACATAAGATTTTGTGGTATCCACTAGTGTAAATATTTGAAATTGAAAATCGAATTCATTCATTGTATTCATATAGGATCAACGAGTGTAGCTGTAAAAAATCATCAAAATCGGAGTTAAAATAACCGTTAAATCATGATTTTTTGTTTTATAACCGTCGAAAAGTTTTATCCCGTTACTTGATCTCTGAATGTTTGGTTTTTGCAATTTTTCGCTGATGCGATCTCGAAGCATATACAAACAAGTTTAATGGTTGGATCGTTGAAATTAGTTTCGTGTATCCCATCAAGTTCAATGGTGTGTGCGTATATATATATTATGTAGATTTAAATCTATTTATTTTGTACGTATAATTATTATAGTTTTTAGGGGTATAAAATTTAATTTAAAATTTAATATATATATATATAATTATTATAGTTAATATTTTGGGGGTATAATTATTATAGTATATATAATTATTATAATTATTTTAGTTAATATTTTGGGGGTATAATTATTTTAGTTAATATTTTGGGTAGTATATATAATTATTATAGTTAATTTAATATATATATATATATATATATAATTATTATAGTTTTAAACTTTTTAGGGGTATAAAATTGTTAAATTAATATATATAATTATTAAATGAATATTCTGCTTATCGTGTATCGTGTTACCCACGTGTATACCCGAACCAACCCATTATCTTAACAGGTGCTTATCGGATTACCCGATAACACCCGATTCGTTATCCTGTCGACCCGAACACCTGTTAATTTCGTGTCGTGTCGTGTCGAGTTATCGGGTCGTGTTAGGAATTTCCAGGCCTATTTAGCATTACCCTTCTTTATATAATACAATTTTGAGTTGACGTAGCTGTTTCTTGGAGAAGGATCCTCTCCGGATCCTTTTCCTGGGGATCCGGGGGATCGAGAAATCATGTCTGTTCATTATATATTGTGCGATCAACTTTCATTAAGTACTATTTATATTTAATTTTTAATTTTAAATTTTAAATGATTTTTAAATTTTAAATAAATTTTAAATGATTTATTGATTCCCCGGATCTCCATGAAAAGAATCCGTCGATGATCTTCTATTTCTCAACTTTATTTCTATTAATTTTTGTACGGGCCATACTGTTATTGAATATTTAATTAGTTTGTTTTAGGGTTTCCTCCTTATACTATTCTTTCAAATCATGGGACCAACTGTTATTAAATTAAATTTTCTGGTTTAAATTATGAAATTACTTGACTTTATGATCCTAAAGTTGACATTCTCCATATAAAAAATAGTTGACTTCATTTGGTCTAATACATTTTAAGTAATTAAGTTTGACTTTCAACACTTCTCCAATGTTTATTGATCGTCTTTTTTCATTTTTAATTTTCTTTTTTCTAATCAACTTCACAGTTGTTCCCCGCTTCGGAGAAAGAAACCTTTATTTTAGTGTCCAACTCCGAGTACATGGCATCTGGAAAACCGCCCTTATCAGAATAACTAGGTTTTAATAACTATGAGCCAATCAGAATAACTAGGTTTTAATAACTATGAGCCATTAACATCGAGAAGAAGTGTTCTACAGGTTCAGAAGTATACTTAATTAAGGCATTCATTCTTGCGCCGCGGAATCATTGATGTGATATTTTACCTGTGTACCAAACCAACGATAATGCAACATTTCTAGGAAGTCAACATATGACAATGGCTAACAGTAAGCCATCCCCAGAAATGGAGAAATTTTAAATTTGTGTATTTAGTTTACGAAGTGATACACTATGTATTATAGTAAAAAAAGTAAAGAAAAGACTTGATCGTTATGTTTTGTTTTTCAAAAGAAGTTTTTCAATATGCTTAGAATACGGGTAGAATGCCACATGTTATTATACAATTAGAGGAAATTTTTTTTTTTTTTTTTTTCAAGTGTCACTCTAATTGTATAATAACATTGTGTTCCTCCTCGTGTTCCGAACACATTGGAAATATATCATTTTAAGATATATTTCTCAACATTTCTTCACTTATATTATGACATGTGATGTACCATCTTGTGTTTGGGATACAACGAAAAATTTCTCAAAAAAAAAATAAAAATGAGTGAAGCTAAGGAAAAACTTGTGTTGTCATAAAACATAAACTAAAGGAAACTTCGGTTGATTGTTAAATGAAGTAGATGTGAAACAACTAGTAAGTTAGTTCAAAATGGTCAATATATCTTGTTGTGATATTTCTGGTTCAAATTCATCAATTTGGGTTTTTTATGTTTCAAACTTTTTAGTTTGGTCCTTTATGTGAGATTTATGACATCATGATATATCGAGTCACATAACTCCAACAAGTTTGATCTTGGAAAAATTAAACAAGTCTCCTAACAACGTGAAATAGTTTTAACCATTTAGTGTGAGGATGTGAAGAATCAGTAGGTTTTACCAAATCTTGCATGCGCTTATAAGGTTGAGCTACTTTCCATATTGTTAATTAATTTTATAGGAAAATCCAACAACCATACGTCGTCCACGTTACCCAATTTTTGTTGACATTGATTTAGGCTTAAAAATTCACTATGCATAAGATGTGAACTTCCTTCGTTCAGTACTTCAATAAGCTTTATTTAATTAAACCTCCTAATAAGATTTAGTAAATCGTTTGATAACTATTTCATTTTCATAATTTAGTTTTCATTTTTTTGAAAATTGAAATCTTGTTTGGTAAACTACTTTCAGTTCAATTTTCAAAAAATGAAAACCAAGAACTGAAAACTACTTTCTTGAGTTTTCACCTTTTGATAAAAGTATTAATCAAACAAGGTTGCAATTTTCAAATTAAAAAAAAATTAAAACTGAAAACAAAATAATTATCAAACGGCCCGTGATTAAATGTCCTAATAGAGTATCTCAGCCATACAAAAGATCTCTGATCGGGCACAACTTTTTCTATGTATGAGCCGCTAGGGCATCTCCCATGTCAATGGCAAAATATCAATGAGCAGCTAGAGTACACCTTTTTCTGTTTGTCTGAATGGTTAAGAAACTGCAGAAGTTTAGGACATCCTCCCTAAGTCAACAAACAAAGAGATCTCAGCAATATATACAACAACTAGAAAAAGACAAGGCAGTCTGTGACATTTTAAGGTGCTGTGCGAAAGAGGCCCTCCTTAAGATAGTATTCCCAAGAAATTTTTTAGCAATGTATTCATGCCAAATTCAACTAACAATTACAATTCTAACTTAATCGAAGTCAGGAACGCTCCAACTAATTGAATAGTCTTACTATTTTGAGTTTTTTTTTTAAATTGTTATGAAATTATGATTTAAGATTGATCTTAAAAAAAAAGCACCATTGAGAAAGAAGACATTTGTGTTTCTGGGATTAAGTAATGTACAAGTTTATTTTATTATGGTTTTAATATTAGAGAAAAGTGGAAAGTTAATATGTTCCTTAGGAAGGGGATTCACGATACGATGCATGAAGAAACAGAAAAAAATTAATATAATAATTATAGCAACTTAATAATATGGTCTAATGGTATTTGGCTTGAAAAAACAAAAACTAAAAACCTTTTATTAGAAAGGGGATACACACAGTAGGTTAGCCAAATAATTTGGTTCAAACTATTTAGCGACTTTCTTAACAATTTAGTTCAGTATATCTTTGTCTAATTTAACTTTTTGTTTTTATAGATTAATAACCTAAACCTTATTATGATGGTCCATTTTGGTCTTAGGGTAAGTCATTAAGAGGTGGGAACTTAGATTGTATTAGATTAAGTCATACAATGGGTTGTAAATTGCTGTGGCTTTCAGACGTGGGATTAATCCATCCAACCCAATGACTTGTACGAAGCCACAAAATATTGAATGTCAGAGGAATATCCACAACTGTCATTTTATATTGATTGTAACTTCAATTCGATCGGTTTCTGTTTTTCTGTTCAATATTTTTGGGGTATTGTTATTCATACTTTTTTTTTATTTTTCACACACCTTTATTAATTTCTGTCTTTAGATTATCTTCAATTCATTCAATTTAACGGTCAAAATTGAGATTCGTGTGTGAAAAGTAAAAATGAGTGTGAATAATACCACTCTATTTTTTAGTGTTGACAATATTTAATTATAAATTATTTCCATAGAACTTGGTCCCTTTCTTAGCTGTACAAGGCCTCATGCCGATGATCATTTAAAGATTATAGACTATTTCATGTTAATGATTGGCAATTAAGAATTGGTACGGGAAATTCCATTTGGAATTCAACTGTTGGCTAATAGTAATTCCTGTCTATAAATATGCCCCAATCTCCTTCGTCCCAGAGCATCAAACAAGTCTGGCTTTCACAATTATTAGCACTAAAAGAAAAGAAAAAAGACTTGCTCTATATATTTAGCATACATGGAATCTGCAGCAGCTATTGCAAATGGTGGATGGAGTTCACTTGGTGAAATGTACTCCTCTGATGAGGAGGCAGAGTTCATGTCCCAGTTGCTCGCTAACTGTTGCGTCACAAATGAGATGAATGAGGCTTCAAGCTCAGCAATCCCATTTGCAATTTGTCCTAGCTATGATTTTTCAAAATCTAACATGGAAGGCATTTATCAAGGTTCACAATACTCTTCAGAAATTGCTAATCTTTATTTTTCAAATGGTAATGCTTATATTATGAGCAATAATGAAACAAACCACTACACCGGTAATCCTAACCATATTATGGAAACAAGTTACCACAGCTCAGAAGCATTTCGTCCGCCGGATGCCAATGCTACCAACTTGATTCTCTTTCAAGGCAAAGAATATGGCATGGATCATCACCAAGAACTAAGCAATGTCAATATTGAAAACCAGCCGGGAGCTGCTATTTATGAAAAGCTTTTGCAGCTTAATAGGGAGTCTGATCATGAGATGACGATATGGGAACCTGCAATGGAAAATGTAGTTATGGTTTCCGAAGGTTCTAAGAAAAGGCCTTGCAGTTCAGTAGATGTAAGCATACACAAGATCAAGCTTTAATTAATCTCTCTCTTTCATGCACTTGGTGATGCATTTTTTTCTGTCCTATTTTTTTTTTGGTTGGGTATTACTACACACACCCCTTTTTACCTTGCACACATCTCTCTCAATTTTTGGCACTCGGATAAAAAAATTGAAGTGGAACAAAGGACAAAATTAATAGGGTGTGTGTGGAAGTGAAAATAGGTGTGCGGAAAGCACCACCTTTTTTTTCTTGAAGAAACGAGAATGTGTGAGCATCTCCAATAATCACAAGTAAATATCTAAATATTGTAGGTGCAAAAGAAGAGGACTGTGAAGGCGAAGAAGGGCCAAAAGGCAGTGTTAAGGGGAAACGTTGAAGATAATGATATAACCACCAAAGGGCAGAGCTCAAGCAGTAGCTGCTCAGTGGACGATGACTCCATTAATGCTTCTCATCAGGATCTGAGTGGAGGTGTGAGTACTTCGAGCTTGAGTCCAAAATGGAAAAAAGCCAGTAGGGGATCAGCAACTGATTCCCAAGGCATATATGCAAGGGTAAGTTCATAAAGTGCTCTGAAGTACATACCAATTTCTTGAAAGAAAAAAAATGATTTCTGTTGGATCAATACTAGAGGGATCAGGATGTTGAAAGTCTTAAAAGTAGAAAATGTATAATTCTTTGAATGGAAAATCACTGTATCACGCTTAGTTCATTGTATCAAAATTGTTTGTTCCAATAGGGGTATAGTTTGTTGAGAGTATGAATCCCACATTGGGAATATGAGACCTTGTAAGTGCTTATAAGTAAGTTGGGCTCCTCCCCTTATTGGCAGTTGGTTTTACAGTAGAACCTCAACTTTCTTCATAATTGACATTTCTTATATTATGGTTCACGACATGTTATCTTAGTAGAGATAAAATTGACTAAGTTTCTATGCATATCCTGCAGAAAAGAAGAGAAAAAATAAATGCGAGGCTGAGAATTTTACAGAACCTTGTACCAAATGGAACAAAGGTAATTATCAGCGTATAAACTCTAATAATACAAGATTTGGTGTAATATTTTTAAGAGCTCAGGTAACTACGTTCTCATAATATAATTTTTTTTTGGGCAATGCAGGTTGATATCAGCACAATGCTTGAGGAGGCTGTCCAGTATGTGAAGTTCTTACAGCTTCAGATAAAGGTAATACCAGAAGCAAGAGAACTGAAACTTTGAAATGTATCCACGTTGGTTCAAGTTTAATTCTAAACAGAAATTTTCATTTGATGATCTAATAATATTGTTTTTTCGGTTTCTATTTTGCAGCTCATAAGCTCGGATGATATGTGGATGTTTGCTCCTATCGCTTACAATGGAATAAACATTGGAATCGACTTAAATTCTTGATGAACAGACTACAAAGTTTTTTGGCTTTGAATGGTTTGATGAGACCATGGAAATAAAGGCAAACAAAAGTTCTGTAACACCACTTGTTAGAATCGGAGAAAATTCATAATGAACATGCGATTAGTACCAAAAGTTAACAAATAAATAAATAAACTAGCATCTACAAGTAATATTCAAAATTATACAACTCATATCGGTGATGATGGATGTAGCCTGTAAGAGGCCCTGTGTTGGTCTGATATTATATTAAACTCAGATATGTGTTTCACGTGTAATCTGATCCACACGCATTATTTTTGCGGCTTGCAACTCAAATTGTTATAATTATAAGCATTACAAGTTTCTTCTCTTTTTGTCTAACTCACTTTTTTTTTTCTTTGTGGATTCGGTAATAGCGACATGAACTAAATGTCCTTACTTTGCATTTGAGGTCCTGTATTTATTTATTAATTTTCGTATAAAAACTGAAAAATTGCTCTTGACATTATAATCTTTCTATGAAATATTGGACTATCATGATTCATTTTTGTTCCAGATATTTGATACATTTTTTTAATACCTTAATGCTGATAAATTTCAAGATTTACTGTTTTAATAACATAATTGAAATATTTATTTGCAAAATGAAAAAAAATATATATGTATACATAAAAAAAGAAATAAAGAATTTTACTGAAAAGGGCTTTATACGAACCAAAATCTTAATTAATTGGAAAAAAAATAACCTAGTGAATTATTTTTATCATAAAGACAAAAAGCAACAACATGTCCAGACAATAACCAAAAATATGTTGAGCTTATTGAATATTGGATTTTATTTTTATGATTAAAAAAAATGAGCTTTAATGAAAATGACTTCTCTAAATTTTTTATTAACAAAAAACCATCTAATAATTTTATTTAATGAAAATGACTTAAAATTTAATGAAAACGACTTAAACTTTAATGAAAATGACAAAAGTTTAAGGGCGTTCTGCACGTCCCATCTCACACACTATTTCTTAAACTGAAAACCGACTCTATCTTAAACTAAACACTAGTACTACTCACTATTTCTTAAACTAAATATGGGTACTATCACTACTTCTAGAACAAAATACGGGTACAATCATTATTCCTTAAACTGAACACTTCATTACAACCGTGCAATTAATGCAGCAATTGCAACAAATTAGGAAACGAAGAAAAAGAATTTGATGTATATCATGCCACTTGTCAACATGTTTGACGAATGGATGATTCCAATCCCATATGTTCTTAGCACTTACACTTCCTCTATTTGGATTGAAGAATTTAGGGAGGAATGAAGGTCTATATGCGGGTTCGATTGTCCATGGTAGACAAGAAAGCAATAGTAGGATATTTAAAATGAGAAAATGTAATTTCTTGAGAGCCTTTTTCGATCATCTTGTTAAGTAGGTGTTGACCCTAGAAACTACCAAGCCTACGTGGCGCGCAGGCCGAGTAATCTATAAGCTAACTACGTCCTTCGGTGAATGCCGGCGTGCCAACTCGTCGGCCGAGCTCGGCCGAGGAGTAAATTTGTTGATGTTGCGTTGGGTGCGCGGCTGACTCCTGCGTCTTGCGATTGCGACCGAGGAAGGAACGCGTCTCGACCTCTTGGGTTCTCGAACCTGAAGACAAGGTTACTATTCTTACAAAGTTCACGAGTCGTCGTCGTCGGATTCAGTCACAGTGATGTTATTCGTCAGAATAAACTCACGCCGAATCGACACCAAAGTGTAAGGGCACAAATACTCAAAGCGAATATAAGTTTTAATGGTGAACGTGGTTCGGCCATCCGAATGCCGAACTCTAAACCCCACTTGGGAATATCCAATCATAAAATAACTCGGCGTGCAATGCGCCGAGCTCGATATACTGTAACACCTCACTTCGCCGAGGAGGCTAATGAGATGACCTCAATCAATAAGGATCCGGAAATTCTTCTCGACCGAGACTTGGATAGGTAACCAACCGTCCTCGCCGCAGTGCTGTTGATGCCAACGGAAGATACTGCGAGACCGATTGATTCTACGATGACAGAGCTATCTATGCCGACTTAAGATGTCACCGGTTGCTTCCACAGTGCTGTTGATGCCAACGGAAGATGTGTCAGCGAGAAAAGAAAAGAAAAAAATCTCAAAGTTGTTGAGAAAGCTTGCGCAGGGCAGTTTTGTGTTGAATTGTCGGGGCTTGAATGATGCACAGCCTCCCCTATTTATAGCACTGGATCTCTTTGAATCCGAATTACAACCCTACTTGGACTAGGTCTTCTCCTCCTGATCAACACCAACTCGACCAGTCCTATTTTCACTAGGATTGTGAACCTAGTCCTTAACCGAGCCGGATTCGCTTCCGGGTTATTAGTCTTGCCGAGACTCCTCATTGCACTAGGACTCGACTTCTTGCGTTATGACCTAGCTGACCTAGGTTTGGAGGCCCACGTACTGAACGATCCATGGCATTCTTGTTGCAAGGCCTTACGGGCCGAAAATGATTCTATACTCGGCCCAAACTATTATTTTGGGCCCAAACATTGCCCCATCGCTTCTGAGGTCCTCGGCCTGAATTCGTTGGCCGAGTTTCGGCCTTGAAGAAGCGAATGTAATCCTCAGAACCCTAGTGCTCTATTTCCAAGGCGCATTTATTGAGCACGATTGCACGATCTTGATCCTGCTAACCAACTCGCCACGTGGCATCTTCTAACACGGCCAATCCCTAATAATGACGTCTAAGGCGTGCGGCTACTTGAACCGTCATCCCATCATGACCTTATGGCTGAACATAGCCACTCTACCTCAATCCGCGAGCCGTTTGTCATCGTGCAGACGTCGAAACGTCTTCCGCCATTAATCTCGCCATCACACGCAATCGTGCGCCCCCAAAACCTAAGACTCTCGGTCTTCTCAACTGCATTTCCTGAATGTTCATCATGATCAGCGATTCCTTTGGTCGATTTTGCCCTTTGTTTTGAATTTCGAACGATTGCCCTTCCTTCCAAAATCCTATAAATACTGAAATCCCTCATTCATACTTTACGCTTTCAAAATCTCTCTGAAATTTCTTGCCCTTGTTCTCCAGCGCAGTTCTTTTTCCCAAGTCTTCGTTCCTCAATCTTTAAACCCAGAAAATTCTTTTCTTGTCATCCCTTCAAACCATTCACCATGGCCTCCTTTATCTCCAAGCTTTCTAAGGAGTGTGACCAATGCCAGAAAATCATCGATCGGAGTTCAATCAAGACCATCCGATTTGAGAGGGACATGAGTACCTCTCACCAAATCTTGGGTCCTCTCTTTAAGGCGGCGGTGCCACCAACCATCACCGGGCTCCTCTAGAAGCACTGCCTGTCATCTTTGCTGCAAGGATTTGAATGGTCGAAATGGGAGGTGGCGAGGCCTCAGGGCTCCTGGCCCTCGACCACTACAGCCTGGGCAACCTGGGTTGTACGAATAGAAAGGCTTTTCGGCGAGCAATGGAAAGCCCTAGGCATTTATGATGCCATTCGCCTCTCGTCCATGGATATCATCCTGGACAAGGAGCTTCTCCTGGCGGCCTCATGTTTCTGGTGTTCGACTACTAACACCATGGTTCTCCCTCTCGGCCCCATTGGCCCCACCATCCTCGACCTTACTGCCATCTTGGGGACTTCCCTAACTGGAATCCCAGTCGACACTGCCCTCCCTAGGTACCCGTCGAACCTCAATTTGAAGGTGCTCTTCGACAAGCGGGCCCTTGAGATGCTGAGCGGTGATGGCCAAACACCCTCGAAGGAAGAGGTCCACAAGCTTCACAAGAACTTCTTCAACTACAACACCCTCTATCTCCATTTTACCGGCCGAGGAGAGGAGGCTCTGCGAGAAGGGGAGCACGAGGCTTTCCTCTTCTATTGGTACAACAAATTTATTTGTTGTACCAAATCTAATAAGTGTCTGGTCGAGAATATGCCAGTGGCCGAAGCTTTAGCTAGCGGTCACACTTTGGCACTCAGCCCGGCCATTCTCGCACATCTCCTACGCTGCTTGGCCGAAGTCACTCTAGACAAGGTCGATCCGTAGCAGAATGGGCCCCTCTGGGTCTTCCAACTCTGGCTGCAGGTCTATTTTGCCCCTCTTCGGCCAACGATGGCCGATTTCTCGCCCAAGGAAGCGCTCGGCCCTCAACTGGCTCTTCGGCCAACCCCCCCACCAAGCTGAAGAAGTGTTCAGATACTTTTTCGCTCTCGACGACCTTTCTGATGACGAATTCTTGATTTGTCGTCGTCGAAAATACCCTTTGTCGATCAGACTTCTTACATCAGCATGGGGCGCGGACGAAGAGGCCGACCTTCGTCAATCCTGGGGGTCATTCGTACTTGCCCGCGACCTTCCTCTCGGCTGTGAGGGACGCCGAGCGAGTTGGGAAGTGTATCATCCCAACTTTCTCGCTCGGCAGCTTGGCTACCTCCAAGGTTGCCCGGTCCCCCATCTCTCCTCTCGGTCCGTCCTAAGCCGTGGACGCGAAACTGGTTCTTCCGAAAAGGAATGCAGTGACGCAAAAAGGGAGTTCCAAGAGCGGTGCCAAAAATTCCGCCTTCAACCGGCCACTCCAGAAACTCTTTGCACCGATACCTTCGGTGCTTGGTGGGAAGAATATACCCAATAGTTCTTTGGTGTTCCGGTCGAAACCGTTCTCGCCAAACTCTTCGGTGGTCGACCTAAGAAGGCTTCTGCCCCCCAAACCCAAGGTAATGGCTTATTTCTACCTTTTTCTTTCAATTTTGAACTACTGATCTGCTTTGCTGACTTGCTTCTGCTTCCCCAGGTAGCCGGTCCTTGAAAAAGGTGGAAGTGGTCGCTGCAGCTGCGGCTAAGAAAAAATCGATCGCCTCGAAGAGGGCTAAAACCGCTGTGCCTGTCTTGCCGAGCAAACAGCCTCGTCAAGAGGTCGAGCTGACCATCGAACCCCCTCGGCCTGCCAAGCGGGTCAAAAAGCTGGCAAAGAAATGAGCACGGGAGATC